GGTAATCATCATCATAGTTAAGTCATTTTGTCAAAAATATTTACACATTACACACAACAAGCCTTCCTCGCTTATTACTCTATCTATTTGTGAATATAAAATGGGACGTGCTGTTTAGACGAAGTTTTCCGCCTGAGGCCGTGCTCGCCCACCTATCCTGCTGAAACTGGAAAGGCTTCCGGGCCACCAGTAACCCTTCAATCTTTTTTTTCCCCCTACTGATACTGATAGCCTTGAGAGACTATTTCAGGTGAGCTCGCGGGGCTTAAACTTGACGTTGTTGCTAACACGAACCCTAGCAAGAGCAGTGCTTCGCAGAATCTACCACCGGATCGGAAGCGCGACCCACTGAGAAGATCTGGCAAGAAACTCAGTGGGCGGTTTCTCTTCATCGCAAGTGACGGGTTCGACGAGAACGGTGACCGGAATTAATTCTTAAAGACAGATGCAGAATGCGACTTTGTTGTATACACATATATCTTGGCATTGCTGAAGTCCATGGTGACGGTAATTACTCACCATCAGGTGGGCCGTATGCTCGTCTGCCTACAAGGGCAATAAAAAAAAACATATCGAGGGGTAAGTATTTTTTTCCCTACTTATTCTTGTACCCTCGAGGGGTTATTCTAGATTCACAGAACTAGCAGGTGAGCTCGCGGGGCTCAAATTAGTTAGACATTTACAGTTAAGCCCTTAGTATTGAGAATGTAGACGCATAATTTCAATACTTTTTTAGTTATATATATTGAGCAATTGTTATAATATGATAAAAACAAAAATTACGTAAAAAAATTATCGATTTTAAACTTACATAACACAATGGAGGATTACACAGTTACGTACGTTGAGTAACTAGAGCGTTTACACGGTCCATTTGTACGTAATATTATAACGTTTTCATAATTACGTAATTCAATACGTATTTATCTGAAAGATTATATTTTGTAGCTCATTCGTATAAAAAAAATTATGGGAAATTATTTTCTTATCCCTATAACGGCAGTACATTTTTTGTCAAATAAACATTTACTAGACGTCAGGCAGTAGTCGAAATTCGACTATAATGGAATTGTAAGTCTGTACACTATTATGATTGTATTTTATACTTCTATAATTACAAATTTCGCCAAGACTACACTATAAAAAATATTAACAAAGACAAACCACATTCTATTCTCAATTTGACAACAGACGTCAAGAACAAAAGTTTGACAATGAATAAATAGTATGCATGCGTGTTGCGTCAAATACATGGTATGTAGTGTGTGTAATGTTTTCTTTATTGATTTAATGTATCTTTTATGCATTATTTTATAAAATATTAGCATTCTGCACTTCTTCTCTATATTCTCTATAAGTGTGGAAAATTTCATACTCCTCCGTCCGCGCAATTTTCATAAAAAGGGATACAAAGTTTTTGCTTCACGTATTAATATATAGATTAGTAATTATTTTAATGTTTTAAACGTTAGATTACCCTTCTTCAAAATGAAACAATGGTGTAGGCTTACGACGAAAGAAAGATCTTCCACCGAGCGGGTGATATTGCTCGGTAAGAAAAGGAGGAGAAAAAAAGCCGGTCATCGTTCTCGTCGAACCCGTCGCTTGCGACAAAGGGCTCGACGAGTAAATTAACCCTGACACAGCTCACTGAGTTTCTCGCCGGATCTTCTCAGTGGGTCGAGTTTCCGAGCCGGTGGTGGATTCTGCGAAGCACGGCTCTTGCTAGGGTTCGTTTTAGCAACGTCGTCAGGTTCGAGCCCCGTGAGTTCAGTTACTAGTGAAGGTTACGCTGAAATAGCCTCTCAGCTAAGTAAGAAAAAAAGTATTTTATGGATTGTATGGGTCTAGACCGAAACAATAGTGCTTGAAAGCTTGTAAATCAGTTATATGTAGTTTTTTTTTCTTCTTTTTTTTTTTATTGCCCTTGTAGGCAGACGAGCATACGGCCCACCTGATGGTGAGTGGTTACCATCGCCCATGGACTTCAGCAATGCCAGGGGCAGAGCCAAGCCGCTGCCTATCGCTAAAGTTTAATTAGTTTGATAATTTGCCCTTTAATAATTTCAGTAACAATATTATATAAAACTGCTTAATAGTTTTATAAATGGTACAGTAAATTCGTCAGTTATATCAAGTGGTTCCGTGGTGTAGTGGTTATCACATCTGCTTTACACGCAGAAGGCCGCCAGTTCGATCCTGGCCGGAATCATAATTTTTTCTTTTTTTTTAATTTCACCTCTTTTATTGTCTCTATAGTACAACGGTCAATAGTTATTTTCTTCACTATTAAGTAATTTTCTTGTATTCTAAATGTTTCCCAACTCATTAAGTTTTTTTTTAAATATTATCTCATCAGATTGGTCAATCTAAAGCCATTTTGAAAGGAGGAAAACAGTAAATTAATTAGTTTTTTTTATCCAGAAACTAAAACTATGAGCTTAACTCCCCCCTTATGGTCCCCCCTAGTCATTATGGGTTAGAATTAACAATAGAATGATATGAAAGCTAAGAATGAATAGATATAGCTAATGAGTTTTGTAAAAAAATTTTTTTATTTCAACAATGAGTTCTGCCTTAGATTTTACACTTTAATACTTTTATTGCTTAACAATTTGAACCAGCTCGCAGCCCACCTGATGTTAAGTGGTTACTGAAGAACACCATGCATTTTGAGATATGACTTCTAGATCTCAGTTCCATAGAACAATGAAGGCTCCACGATTAGAACTGGAACACATTACTATTTCAAAGCAGCAATAGGTAGGGAGATTTTACCCATCAGTTATTCACAAGAAACCTAGTAAGCAGTAGTAAGCAGGGACTTGACTGTGTCCCTGACATTGCCGATGTTCATCAGTGACGGTAACCACTTACCATCAGGTGGACCGTACACTCATTTGCCTATAAAGGCAATAAAAAACAACACTCAAACACCAGTAAAAAACATAATCTTATATTTAGTCTTGATCAATCCTTTGCTTCCATACTTTATGTACATAAAGATCTTCTTTATTTTAAAGCATTTTTTTTTAAATATTAATGCTGATGGAAGAAAAGAGACTCAGTGCTAAGAGCTTATTAAGCTAAAGCAAGTTTTATTTTTATTTTAGATTTTTATTTATTATTATTTATATGTTACTTTGTAGTTACGGCTGTTATTTGGAAATACAGCAAAGCATGGAGTCAAGTATAATGTGCATTAATAGGGGCCCCTGAAACGAACACCAAGGTGCTGACATACTCCGTATAAATTCCTCTCTGTGTAACACAATGGACCTGATACCTGCACCATGAATCCATGGATGGCTTAGATGTATCTTTTTTTTTTTGTTTAGGCTTACTACATTTTCAATTTTCTTATTATAGTGTTATCAATTTTTATTCTATCATAAATAATACTATAGGTCGAAATCTGAGATAAACAGTTTTGCAGGAGCTTAAATGGTACCCAGGCCATAATTTTTGTAAACTTTCGAATCTGAGATCATAGTTTCTATCATTGTCTAATTTCAGCTACCCCAAGTCTCCAAACAAAATGCGTGGAAGCTTCAATGCAGCAACAAACAGAGGAACTACACACATCTGACTAGAATCTTGCTATCAGTTTTGGATTTGTAGCATTTTTTATAGTATAAATGTCTGTATTATCAGAAACTCCAACTACATAAAAGAATTTCAGTGTGTGATCTATTCAATATTTACAATTTATATAGGTATATAATATTAGAGTGTTTTATAATGGTTATTAATATATATAGTGTATATGTTTGGTACAAGCTTTTGTTATGCTTAAAGTATTATAAGCCCTATATAGAAATTAAATTCTTAATACTTAATTTCACACTAAAAGTTTAGTGTGTTTTACTTCATTACAAAAGATTTTTAATAACTTATCTCTTATCAGTGTATGCGATATAAATAAGCCTTATCAACAGACCAAAGATATGAGGTAATGGCTATCCAAACAAAAAGGGGAGTTGCAAATAACTTTCGTTTATTTCCGTTTTTTAAATCACTGTTTTAGCGAAGGTTAAACGATTATACAGCCGGTATTATCGAGATAGCATCTGAATACAATCGATATCGTGACAAGGTCGAGCGTTGCTTAAGAAGATTCTAATTAGGTAAAAGGTCGACTTAAGTACAGATATGGCATTATTGTCTGCCCAACAATGATATCAGCACCAATTCATTTAATTTAATGACTCACGCGTCCGGCTGGAGTGTACAGCCGGTCACACTTGTGTACTTCGATACGAAACAAGTTACCATGTACCTACTTAAATGTAGCAAATAATTTTAAATTACGATAAAAACTCGCAGATATTATATAGGTAAAGTCCGCGCAACAGATGTTTTCAATACATTCGAAAATGGAATGCGAGAGAAAATTACCTTGTCCAAACATTTCAATTCCTCGGTAGGATAAACTGTTTTCTCGCACCTCGCACAAGTTTTATTCATCTTGAACGGTTTTAAGCCAATATCACTTAGATAAAATAAGAGCACTACACTTTCACAGAGCAACACAAGTAATCACGATTCACGAACAAACTTTAGATATAACTTTTTTATGGAAACACTCCGGAGCACGATTTTCGTAGCATCCCCGTACGCGCATGCCAAAAATATGACAAATGGCGACCGTTGGCGAGTGTGACCAGATTATCAAGGTTGACCATGTAGTTTTTACTTTTTAACGTTTAAGAATTTGCTAAAAATTTAGTGTTAATAGTTCTGGTAATAGCTATTTCCAGGGGTTTCCTTTAAACTAAAACATAAAAAATCCATTTTTTATTCTCTAAGACTGACAGTTAATTAAGCAGATTTCAGTAGCACTACTAATTTCTACTGGAACTTTAAAATGGAAACTCTCTAGACATACTGTTTTTACCTACTAATAGATATAAGATTTTGAAATTATATGAGAAACGTGTAACATCGTCAATGTATTTCTAAAATTTATTATATATTTAAAGCAAATTTATACAACGAAATCAGGAACAGTTACACTTCTCTCGTTGCAACACCGCTAGTGCTTCATTGAACAACTGTTTTGATGTTTGTATCATTTCGGTTAAATTTTTGAAGTCATCTTGTTTTTCTTCTTCAATCATCCTTAATTTGTCCTCCATAATTTTTAATTTTTCTTCAGCTAATTCAAGTTTGAATTTCAATTCTTCTTTATCTAAAGTTTCATAGTCTGCAGCTGGTTGAGATTCAGAAGAAGTCTCGCTTGGTTTTTCAACAGCTGCAATCGAAGACTGTTTTTTGGTCACAGTATTAGTACCTAAAGCGTCAAAAGTTGTCTCCTTTTGCATGGATGTCCTTGAAAGCCTTGAAGTTCTCCTGGTTTCTTTGTAGGTCTTAAGTTCTTCTTCTAAATTATTAATCTTTCTTTCTAGGCGTTTCTTCTTTTCTTTAAGTTTTCTGTTTGCCGATTCTTGTTCTTCCCATTTGTGTCTTTCGTTGTCTATTCTCGTATTTAGTGTTATGATTAACTCGCTTAGTTTTTTTATTTCGTTATCAGTAGCGGTTTTCATTGGAGTGAAAAACACACTTTGTAGTGAACATTCTTCATATCTCAATAATTGGGCTCGCAATTCTTCTATTTTTGCTGCTTTTTCGTTCGCTTGTTTACGCAATGCATCAATTTTAGCATCAGTATTTTTTATCTGTTTCTGATATTCATTAATTTCAGTATTCATTTTGTTCATTTTCGAAGAGTTCTCTTTTAATATCTCTTGATAATAGAGTTCGGAATTTTTTAACTGATTCTAAAAATAACAATTCAACTTTAGTTAAAAATATTTAAAAAAAAACTTACAATTAATAATTTGAATACCACTGGAATCTTTGACTTACGAAGTAGCCACATTACCAACACACTCAATGTTGCCAAGACAATGTAAAGAATAACAAACCTCCTTTAAATGTTTGAGCTATAAGTAATCACCTCTTACCAATTTATTATTAATGATACCGGCTACATACCCTTTGTTCATTTATCAACATATCATCATGCTTGCTCTTTTCCACAAACGTTTGCATCTTCTGCCTAATGGTGGTAACGTCACATTCTAAATTTCTAATTCTGCAGCGAGATCCGTCCAATTTCCTCTTCAAATCTTGGTTCTCCTCTTTTAGAACTTCTAGCTCTTTCATTGCTAAATCTACGTCCTTTTTTCTCTTCATTTCTAATTCTCTTATTATCTGAAGGTGAAACAGATAAGTGAGCAGAGAACAGTGAGATGTAGCGTGGCGAAGAAATAAAACACGCGCACAAAATATTTGTCATAAAATTGGGAACAATTATTTTGTTGTTTAGGATGAGTTCGAAATCTTTTTGGACAATACGAATTTGAAAGAAGTCATGTTATGATAAAAATAACTTTTATTTATTTATTTATGTAAATAAATCAAAACTATACCTGACTCTGGTCTTTTCTTTTAACCTCAATCATATCCTTTTGCTTCCCATTCAATTTCTCCTCTAGCTCATTTACTCTACTCTGCAGAAGTAATATTTGTTGAGCCCTCCCTTTCCATCCAGCCAGGTCATTCTGCAGTTCTTTTATGCTAGTAAACTTATCACCCAGCTCCTGTTGCAAGATTTTCGTTGCCACTAATATGTCATTCTTCAATTCTAGATTTCTGTTTTTACTGTCATATAGTTTTTTGTTGACTGCCGCTAATTTAGTGTTCAATTCTTTCAGTTCATCAGAACTACCGTCTTGAAAATCTTCTTTGCACAGACATGCCTCTAATTTCTCGTTTTCTTTGTTTAAAATGTCGAGTTGCATGATTTTACGTTCCAAGGCTGCATTTTTTGTTTTATATCCTTCTAACTCTGCAACTAGATGTCTGTTCTGTTTGCATAAGTCCGTTATTTTGGCACTTATGACTCCGGCTGATTTCGAAGAAATTGCAGGACCGCTACCGGATATGAGATCCCGGATTCTTTGATTCAAATCTTTTATGGTTTTGTTAAGTTCTTTTATTTCTTGATCCTTTGTGTAAACACATTTGCGTAATTCGTTATTTTCACCTGTCATTACCTAGAAATTGGATAAGTATTTAAACCACTAAGTTTTAAAGCATACTAGTGAAAGTGGTGACACTGCAATACTCCCAGGTGTTCAAACAGCCCAGTTTGTCAAATAGTGGTTTTTTTAAATGCCATAAGCACTTCTAGCATGCGAGCGTCCCCACCTCATCCCCTCAGCTCACCCCATGCGATCTGATTCCATACAGTGAAGAGGAACTATAATACGTCAAATTTATTAAGACCCTTATGAAAGAATAATGACAGTTAGCTCTCTCGTTTTGTGGTTCGATTCGAAAGGTCGCGGACATCTAGTTGTTCAATCCTACTGAGAGTTAGTCCTGGGTAAAAGCGGTAAGAAATACATAGTTGGTACAACATTATGGCTTAACCTTTAGTTGGTCTATCAAATGGGCATTTAATTCAGGCGGATATAAAATATCGTCAGGATCAGGTTTATCCAGTGCAGCTAACATTTTCAACTTCATTTCATCTGTCTCCTCAATTTTAGCGGCTAAGTCTGCTAGTTTTTCATTGTTTTCTTTGGGCTTTTTAATTTTTACCGACGATAATTCTTTATGGGTAGCCATAGTTGCAGTTATAATATTTAAGTTTCGATAATTTTATTTGTTGTACGAATCAACTGACAATGAATAAACGTCAGTTTTAAAATGAATTAATATCAGAACTCTATGCTGTGAGAACAAGGGTTCCACTAAAATCCAATTACGTTATATTGTATCGTCTTATAAGAATAATATGTGTAGAGTCTGTTACATTATATCCTCAATCTATACTTATAATATCAAAAAGCTGAAGAGTTTCTTTGTTTGGTTGAACGCGCCAATCTCGGGAACTACTGGTCCGATTTGAATAATTATTTCACTGATAGATAGTCCATTCATTGAGGAAGGCTTTATAACATCACCCTAAGACAAACACAAGCGATGCACTAATAAAGAATGTTTTAAAATCGGGGTAAAATCCCTTTTGAGAACTTCTGCTGCAGTTAAGCTGTTAAAGTTTCGCCAACACAATTTATGCCAGATTTGTTCTCCTCTAGAAGTTCTAAAAAAGTTCCCGACAGCATATGTCTATATTTTAAGGTTGGCTCACTATAACCTTTTTATGCTAACCAAATTTGTTCTAAAATAAGCATTATTTGTGAAGGTGTTTTTATAAAGATGATATTAATCCTACATTAAACTAAATAAGTTAATTATTAAAAGTATTTTATTTAAAATAACTTTGTCCTTTACATCATTTGATTTCAATGACTATCTTAGAAGATATCGCTGTTTTAAAATAACATCGCAGCAAAATAGTGATCAAGCGCGTAATAANACCAAATTTGTTCTAAAATAAGCATTATTTGTGAAGGTGTTTTTATAAAGATGATATTAATCCTACATTAAACTAAATAAGTTAATTATTAAAAGTATTTTATTTAAAATAACTTTGTCCTTTACATCATTTGATTTCAATGACTATCTTAGAAGATATCGCTGTTTTAAAATAACATCGCAGCAAAATAGTGATCAAGCGCGTAATAATGATGTACAAGGCGCGATATCCCCCTGTTTTGAAATCAGTTAAAAAGCGTGATTTTGGTGCCTTAAATAGCTCCTTAACAGTCTATTATTCAAAAATATGTTCACCTTCTACGTATATGAAGTCGTGGGTAAAATTTAACGTTATCCCAACGTAACTATCAGGTTAGGCAGAAAGAAAAACGTGTTTTCCATATCGTGATGCCATGCTCGCCATGGTTTTGATGCAATTTTAAGATAGGGCAGCCGCTGTACTGTAAAACTGAAACTTCGAACCTATGTTGTTTTTGATGTCTATAGGCTTTGATAACCATTTAACACCAGGTGAATCATGAGATAGTGTACCCATCTAAACAATAAAAAAATGTCCGATATTTTCTACACATAATAAACATAATATACACATGCATATAATACAAATAATATATAGTCATTAACTACATATTATGTGTATAGCTGCAACTTCCAGATTGATTATCCAGAATGTTTTTTGTAATGTGACTAATCTCTTAACGAACAAATCAATCTTTACCTTTAATAGATTTCATTTATGATGAAAATGAATACTGCATCAATAAAAAAGGGTTACTAAAAGATTCTAAATTACAGCCAAAACTCAGTAATTTACATATTATTTCTAATTAGTCTGTGTTGATTATGTAGGAGATAATCGTACCATAAATACAGGAAATAATTGGGGCTTTTCAATTATTATCGCCAATACAATTGGCACCTTTGTTTATCTTGAAATAAGAACTAGGAAATTGCGTAAATTAAGTTAGTATTGCTGTTAATAGTTCGAAGTTTCTCAAAAAATGGCAGCACTGCCTTCCGAGTCCCCGTCATGTGTTTTTCACATAAACCTAGTTTTTCAATAGTAATTGAGTTGTCAGTAATGTCATTGTCAAACAGCTGCCAGTGTAGGTTGTGGATCGATTGTTTTGATCAGTGTTTTTTTACATATCAAAAGTTAAATCTATTATCAATTTTTTTTATCAGTTTTGTTTCATCTAAACCACTTCTGGGCCGGGTGCCCGCCTTGTTCCCTGATTTGTACCCTTAAAATTTACTAGTAAGTGATTAGAATGATTTGTCCTTGGAAAATTCTGTAACCCATGTAATTTCATGTCTTATCACATAAATTACTTACAAGACTTCTTCACGGTTAATATTTAGTACGTAAAGATGTATTCCCAAACTGTGACGATAAAAGTGGTTTAGTAGTTTCTGTGCTATGTAATATTTTTCCTTAAATCTTTAATGATCGTATTTAATCTATGTATTGGTTTTTTTTCGCCACCAATGAGCTTAAAATTAAAATCTAACTAGATCATGAAATCTAATTGAAGAAAAGTTATTTAGTTTAGAACACTTGTAGTAAACATTTTTAATTACAATATTAATGTTGTATCAGTAACTGTATTAACAAGATATTCTGAGATTGTCATTGAACTCATATTTCGAATAAGCACCATAAAGCACCCTAGTAGTTCTAATCTAATTAACAATATTCTGGTAACATCATTGGTTCTAGAATATAAAATAATTTATGAAATAAAGAAAAACTGACTGCCTTCAAAAAATAAACTAAGTATGGGATTGCAGGCTAGTCATTAAATTAATGATCTCAAATATATAATATTATCTCTAAATTACTTTCAATGCATCAGTTACTTGATTATGGATTCATTATTTTTATGTTATATAATACATATAATATATATGAATTTTTCTTCTTCTATTTAGATTTTTGCTGGCACAGTATTATAAGTCACTCCTACGATGCAAATGAATTTGTTGACATCTTAGTTGAAATCCATTTGCAAGGTGTGGTCAAAGAATTTGTAAAATTTAACACCATTGGGTACCAGGAGCGTGGGGCGTCCTCCAATCAGGTGGACTGACGACTTAGTGCGCACGGCGGGAAGTCGTTGGATGCGAAAGGCGGAGGACCGCATTATGTGGAAGGCATTGGGGAAGGCCTATTTCCAGCAGTGGGCAGATAAAGGCTGATGATGATGATGAACACCGTTTCAAAATTCTACTAAAAAGTAAAATCTTACAGTACAAACACGGATTTCTTTCAGAACATGCCGGGAACAAATCTAATAGTTCCAGTTGTCCTGTGGGGCAAGCACGCACCCACTCACTGCATCTCCTCAGTATACCTGTCGAGAGATCAAAAGACCCTTGTCACTGGTTGCTACGATGGCCAGATATGTATATGGCAGTCAGATCCGGAAACGCTGAAGATGACTCCGCGGTGTCTGCTTGTTGGTCACACAGCTCCAGTCACATGCCTATCAAGGGCTTCGATTATACAGGTAAAGCATTCTAAGTACAGGTGAGCATATCCATGCCTTGGTGGCCAGTGATGCCTACCATATAAATTCATCAAGTTGAAATTGCATTAATTATATTGATCTTTTTACTTAACGCAGTAAAATATGTTTGTCAAATCTGTACACAAAATACAATAGAAAATCCTATTTTGGGTGTGTTGAATGTGAAACGGTAAATACAATCTATATATGAGTCGTCTATTATCAAAGGTGGCAATCTATGCATTCGGACAAAAAAATGGTATTGATATGTCAATACAGATTGATTTGAATATAATCGTCTCCTTCAAAGAATACGGTTCAAAACCTGCATTAAATAAAGGTTAATACTTAACCTGTTATTTATCTAAGATGTCGTTCAGAAGAGTTTTGTGACTGCCAATGGAATACAAAGTCAATAATTCGTTTTTCTGATTTACCAATAATTGTCCAAAAGTCACATTGCCGGCTTTGATAATAGTCGACTCATATAGAAGTGAAACATTCAAGAGTAATTTTTTTTTTTTTTTTTTTATTGCTTAGATTGGTGGACGAGCTCACAGCCCACCTGGTGTGAAGTGGTAACTGGAGCCCATAGACATCCACAACGTAAATGCGCCACCCACTTTGAGATATAAGTTCTAAGGTCTCAAGTATAGTTACAACGGCTGCCCCACCCTTCAAACCGAAACGCATTACTGCTTCACGGCAGAAATAGGAAGGGTGGTGGTACCCACCCGCGTGGACTCACAAGAGGTCCTACCACCAGTAAAAAATCTATTTTATTCACTCACAGGCTGAATCCTGTAGGTGTACATGTTTGTTTGTTTTTGTTTCAATTCGCAATCTGGCGGTATTCTCAGAGATTTCTGCCAATACCATGTAATGTAAAATACACTTGTTAGGGCTACTTCAATCAAATTTTTTGTTGCAGGCAGGTAAATGATGATTTTGTCTACTAGTTGTAGTTATAATAATGATGCTTCGATGTGAATATGTGTATATGTGTTGTGAATAATGCACACAAATTTTAATATATATATATATATAGTTTATCTGTCCATATTTATGTTAATAAACTCCCAAATGGTTGAAATGATTTTGATATTTTTTTTGGTGATCTAATTGGTTTAGGAGCTGTTTAAATTGACATTTGAATATTTTAATAACTTTTCTAAGTTCATCAAAAGTTTCATCAAATATTTTAGGAGATTATTACACCTTCTAAAATACGTGAATACATTATACATTTATATCTTACATCAATGATTTCGGTTTTAAGACATGTACAGGATGTCTGTAGGATTGGCTAGTAAAAAATAAATTTATACATTATTATATTTCTAGATTTTCGTATAAGGAGTCGAAGTTGACGTATCAAGGAATGCTTAAGACATTTTTTCTAATTTTTTACCCATCATAACGTATTAAAGGTTTTACTGAATATTTTCAGGATAACAACTTCATAGTGAGCTCATCGGAAGCCGGTGAGATGTGCACTTGGGATTTGGTCGATGGGAAGTGTAGGGAGAGTGTGAAATTGACTCAGGTCCATACGAACATTCAGGTCAGTTACAGTGTTGATGAATACGGGCATGGTGTTGGGAATGATATAAGCCTGTTGTCTTCTATGGTGAAACTGCAATAGGAATTGGTGACTGTTATGACAATAGGCTTAGGTTTATTTATTAGGCTTTTAGGTGTTCTAAGCATCGGACATTGTCCGCGGCGAACCCGTCGCTTGCGACGAAGGGCTCGACGAGTAAATTAACCCACAGACACAGCCCACTGAGTTTCTCGCCGGATCTTCTCAGTGGGTCGCGTTTCCGATCCGATGGTAGATTCTGCGAAGCACTGCTCTTGCTAGGGTTCGTGTTAGCAACGTCGTCAGGTTTGAGCCCCGTCAGCTCACCTACTAGTTAAGGTTACGCTGAAATAGCCTCTCAAGCCTACCAGCTTTGGTAGGAAAAAAAAATGAAGCTAATAAAAGCGTATTAAAAACACTTGTATTTTATCAACGGCAATTTTATTACAGGCCTATCATATGTGCAATAGCGAAGATCTACGCCTCTTCTGCAACGGTTACTACGCCGAGATACTAATAATGGATCCGTTCTCGTTGGAAATACTGTTCTCTTTGAGCTCCAAGATGAATCCCGATTGGATATCGGCTTTGCACGTGAGTTTTACGAAGTAGACTTACGAAGACGATTGGTAGTGTGGTTTGTTGACGGTATGATGATCGCCTCATTGATCCGGGGTCTGGGTTGGATCGGCTACTGTGTCTTAGTAAATATCACGGTCAATATTTACCTATTTATTTGGTAAACCAATAGTACAATACAATCATATAATATTTTAAAAAAATAGCTAAAACAAAAACCAAACATGTTTCCACCTTGCGGACCACCTTGCACTTACCTAACCTTGCGGACTCCCAAGAGGTCCTACCACCAGTAAATGACAATTCTTCAATTAAATTTTTGGCGTTTACCTACAAACAAGAAACTTAGGTTAAGCCGCTTCAATTCTAAAGGTGCGATTTGTATAGAACTAGCGACCCGCCCTGGCTTCGCTTCGGAAACTGTAAACTTCCTCTTCAATCGCTCTATCTATTAAAAAAAACCGCATCAAAATCCGTTGCGTAGTTTTAAAGATTTAAGCATACATAGGGACAGAGAAAACGACTTTATTTTATACTATGTAGTGATGCGTTTTTTTTTTAAATGACCCTCGGATGTATAGTGGTACCGCTTTAGCGAATAATTTTAATTTTGTTTTCAGGTGCTACGTCCGTCGTCACGTAAGGACGACGTTGTCCTCGCGATATCAATCACCGGCACTGTCAAAGTGAGTTTGGTAGAAGCTTTGACCGTTTGAGCCCGGACCGTCGATATATCGACGTTCGTAATGCGTATAAAGCGCGGTGCGTCGGAATATCGACGATTGCGCAGATTGATTATTGGTAGTAGGTATCGACTGGTACGGGCGTGCCTTAGCGCGCGCACGTATAACGTTCGTAATAAGTCAATAACATTTATAAATAGGTAATCATTTACCTAAATTATTTTATTGTGAATTTAGCTTCAATATTTATAATTTTTTTAAAGTTTTTTATAAGGTAATTAGCTGACCCGGCAGACTTCGTAGTGCCTCAATCGATAAATAAAAACCTAAACTTTTGTGTAAAATAAACATAAAACAAACAAAAGGAATCAACAAACAAAGGGGAAACAAAATTGTTATTTTTATTTATATTCCGAGCATTTTCATATTTATCTACCTTTTAAACCTTCTCTGAAATATTACAAATAATTGAAGACCAAAATTAGCCAAATCGGTCCAGCCGTTCTCGAGTTTTAGCGAGACTAACGAACAGCAATTTTTAGAATTTTTTTTTAAGAAGGTTTAAAACGTTTAAAATATGAAAAAGCTCGGAATTAAATGGAAATAACAATTTTGTTTTTCCTTTGACGTGTCCCCCGTCGGACGGATTCCTTTTGTTTTAAGTTTCTTTATACAAAAGTTTAGGTATTTTATTTATAGATTGAGGCACTACGAAGTCTGCCGGGTCAGCTGGTCACCTTATAAATTTTCCATCCATTCTAAATATCCGGTTAAAATCTACACCCGGCTTGAGAGTTGTGGTCTGCCCGTACATTCCAGGTGTGGTCGCTGCTCGGCCACGAGAACAAACAGTCCGAGCCGATATACGAGAACGAATCCAAGCAGATCCGCTGTCTGAACGCGCTCTCGCTGAACTGCTGCGCGTACAACCAGCGCACCGTCCTCATTGTCTGCGCCAAGTACTGCCAGATATACGATGCAGGTCAGAGCACGTACAGTGACTATAGTCCGTCCGCTTTAAGGATGCATTTGTGACGTGTCATCAGCGGACGATGTGGCTTTCAGGTGGCGTTTAGTTTTGTGATGAAATCGAGGGTGCAAGCTATTTGGTTTTTAGCTTTTATTGTAATTAAAGCTCCGTTTTATTTGGTATAAATGGTAAGCATAGAGAGCAACCGCCTGATCAGATTTGGTAAAGGAAGCACTTGGTGGTAGTCTGTACCATGCGATACGTGCCATGATCGAGCACTGTGGAGGAACGTCACATGTGGTCGCGACTCTCAGCAGTGAGGGAACGATACAGAAGTAGAAGAAGTTTATTTGGTATCAGCATCAACAGTTCGATGCTTTTAATTGAACTGTTGATGCTTTATGATGATTAAGCTTACTCCATTCAAATAGTAGTAGTTTTTTGTTATGTTCTGGTGGTAGGGCCACTTGCGAGTCCGCACGGGTAGGTACCCACTACCCAACCGTGCAGCAGTAATGCGTTTCGGTTTGAAGGGTGGAGCAGCCGTTGTAACTATATTTGAGACCTTAGAACTTATATCTCAAGGTGGGTGGCGTATTTACGTTGTAGATGTCTATGGGCTCTAGTAACCACTTAACATCAGGTGTGAGCTCGTCCACTCATCTAAGCAATAACAAAAAAAAAAAAAAACATGTCTTCAGCGGACGATGTACAGTAGGCGCGCGAGTTCATGTCCATCCTGAGGAATGCGGTAGTGCTGTGACATAGTTAATTATGGTAATGTCGATAATAACTACCGATTTAGTCAACATGATGAGGACGAGCTCACGGCCCACCTGGTGTTAAGTGGTTACCGGAGCCCATAGACATCTGCAACGTAAATGCCACCACCTACCTTGGGGCATGAGCTCTAACGTCTCACTTTTAACAGTACATTTTAAGCGCAGTTTTATCACAAGTACACTAATTATGCTTCCAGGGGATTTCTCAGTTCTATGCTCGATCCAAGCACCCTCAGGCGAGCGATGGATGTCAGGGGATTTCCTGGCCCCGGACAGAGTCCTCGTCTGGTCAACCGAAGGCAAGGGATATCTTTATAAGCTACCCGCCAAGTAAGTATGAGAAACTTATCAACCTACCCTCAAAACTAATCCCGTTACAAAAGAAAGAAGAAAGAAAGAAAGAAAAGAAAGTTATTTAAAAAGAAAGATACATCTTTGTCATTTATTTGGATTAATAAAAAGATAACATTAATGAGTAATTAATAAGATAAGTGAATTGATTAAAGCATGTTTACTAAAATATGTAAATGACTGATAGAGACTGTAATTAAAAAAATTAATCAATACAAGCTACCAAGCCAATAATAAATTTTATATGCTAATATAATCACAGTACGAAAGCTAAATGTGTAATCATTAAAAAGTAACATTAAAACGTGGCATGAAGAATCATTTAAAATCATTAGTTTATCATCGGAGCACAATGACGCCTCTGTATGTGTTTTTTTTTTTTAATTTTTTTAATATAAATAAAATTTCCACAGACAAAACATAACATTCGTTCGTGTTTGGAAAAAGAGATTTTACATTTTAAAGTTTAAAAAAAAAACTCAATAAAAACCTAATGGTTTCAAATTTTATTCTGATTTAGAAACAATGAATAATTGAAAAGAAAATAAAAAATATATATTTGATTTTTTACTACAAGGTTTCACAGCCAAATAGAAAAAAAAAAAAAACAGAAGCCCTGACATAAATCAAATAAACTTCTAAATAAGTTGATTGTTTGTAATCTTGTAACACCATAAGCATACATGACATTAACCGATGCAAAGCAAAATCCGACAGGTGCTCAGCTATCACTGAAACCCGCCCTTAACTGGCAACACTGAAACATTAACACCCTCATTATTTTTTTGTTATAGCAAACTGCGTGGAAAAGCTATCAATAGGTCAGCATAATTATGATTATAAACCGTAAATTATCGAATTGCTTTTAAACCATTCGAAAATAATCCAATGTGAATTCTGGTTGGTTTATATTTGAAAAATCTAATATTGTTTCCTATCCAAATATTGCTAGTGAGTTTTACATTATGGTCAAGGTATTTTAGGCATATCACTTGTAACATTGTTAAGAGAAGATAGTGCCAAATTCCCTATACGTTTTGTAAGGAGCCGGTGCGATTACGGTGCATTGATACTAGATGGCGCTATTTAATTTTTAAACTAATTGCGGCTTACATTATCTGTGTCGAGTGTGGAGAAAAATTCATAGGAAAGTCTATGATGTTAAATTTGAAATCAAATAAAGTCAGCACTGAAACTTTTTTTTATTGCTTAGATTGGTGGACGAGCTCACAGCCAACCTGGTGTTAAGTGGTTACTGGAGCCCATAGACATCACGCAAATGCGCCACCCACCTTGAGATATAAGTTCTAAGGTCTCAAGTATAGTTACAACGGCTGCCCCACCCTTCAAACCGAAACGCATTACTGGTTCACGGCAGAAATAGGCAGGTTGGTGGTACCCACCCGCGCGAACTCATAAGATGTCCTACCACCCTATACATAGGGTTAGAAGTAAGGAGCACCGTCTTAGTGTATTGAAAAGTGTCCACCGAAAAGGAGCTAAATAAGGTGGCGCCACTGTAGCAAGTGGAAGACTTTTAAAAACAGCGCTACAAACTACCACACCTCATTTCGATCCAGCACACTTCACTCTGTTTAAATAGAATATCCAATTCCTACACTAACGCTATTTCAATGAGTTTTGCAACACTTTTTCAATTTGAATCTTATAAAAATGATGCTCTTTACCTCTACCCTCCAGCCCGGTCATCGTTCTCGTCGAACCCGTCGCTTGCGACGAAGGGCTCGACGAGTAAATTAACCCTCAGACACAGCCCACTGAGTTTCTTGCCGGATTTTCTCAGTGGGTCGCATTTCCGATCCGGTGGTAGATTCTGCGAAGCACGGCTCTTGCTAGGGTGCTAGCAACGTCGTCAGGCTTTGAGCTCCGTGAGCTCATCTACTAGTTAAGGTTACGCTGAAATAGCCTCTCAAGGCTCTCAGGTTAGGTAGGAAAAAAATCTACCCTCCATAAAATTACAGAACAGCTCCGATATGGTCGTCTATTCTGTGCCAGTGTTTTTTTTTTTTGTTAAAGTTTTAGGCACTGTATTTTGGTTTACTGTAACCATAAATACATACTTTTCTTCGAAGCCAGAATACAATTTTAAGCTTACGTTTTTTCACGAAGACACGTAGGCTTATGGGGTGACTTGAATCCATAGATATAACAAGCGCTTTCGCATACCGGCAAACTTCTATTAATCTTAATATCCATACATTCTTTTAAACACATAAATAATTCAAATAATTTATTTTTATTTTTATCGCGATAGTTACGCCGCGTCTTCTCTTGACTACATTCTACCTTCAGCTGTTCGGATCGGTTCAAGAAGTTTCACAGTAAAAATCGATGTTTAAACGCAATTCGATACGGAAAGGGTCTTACAGTTTTTGTAGGTGAATTGTGTTGATTTAAATAAAAGTCTATTAAGTTCTGTAAAATGACGGAAGAGGCTCATTAAGGCTCACATAGTGTAAAAGTTCCTTCCTAAACGTCACAAAGGGAAAGCCTCCAATTTTATTATACCATTGTTGTTCCACACTTCAAACGGGCACGGGGATCGCTTTGCAGCCTAATTAGGCAGAATGGTAGAGTCTACCAGTGCACGCTTTGTCGTCTTAAAAAAAAAAGCATACGCACATATTTCGTTATGTTGGTACCTACCCGATGAACAATAACTGTCAGATCCTTTTCCTACAACGGATTAGGAATTTATTTTGCCTACACTTATTAAGTGTGCTTTGTAAGTTTCAAATTTTTTCTTTAGTTTACTATTCACAAGTAATAAATCTGTTATAGATTAACGTTGGATGATGATGTAGTGTATTGTTCGATTTTCGCGATTTTTAGACGCCATTAGGATTACTGTCTCGGTTTAGTTTCGCGCGTTTTTTATTTTTTTTTATTTTATTATTTTGGAAGTTTCGGATACTTCCGAGAAATTGCATTTAAACGAAGACGCATTGTATTGTAGAGTCATTTCATTTTAGCCTATTTAACACGAGCAGCAAGGGTGATAGTGCATATCGAGGAATGAAAGGCAACATTTTTTAAATTTACAGAAGAGCCATTTAAAGTTTATACATAATTTAAAAAAAATATCATATCCAAAAAAACATCTTCAGCTATTTGAATGTACTAAACTTAATTGAAGTTCTATTGATAATATCGAACTGTTGATCATCATCATCATCATTCTTTCCTACTACCCTCCGCTGGGGTAAAGGGCTCGAATCAAATCCTTCCATTCACATCGGTCTTGGGCAGTCTGTTCTAGTGCCTCCCACGTCTTGCCCAAGACGGTTCGAAGGGTGGGGCAGTCGTAACTATACTTGAGACCTTAGAACTTATATTTCAAGGTGGGTGGCGCATTTACGTCGTAGATGTGTATGGGCTCCAGTAACCACTTAAAACCAGGTGGACTGTGAGCTCGTCCACCAATCAAAGCGATAAAAAAAAAGTAACCCAGCTCCTGCTCCACCGAGCGACGTTAAGTTTTTTTTTATTGCCCTTGTAGGCAGACGAGCATACGGCCCACCTGATGGTGAGTGGTTACCGTCGCCCATGGACTTCAGCAATGCCAGGGGCAGAGCCAAGCCGCTGCCTACAAATGCCTATACGTTGTTCTGGGGCGGTCTCTCTTCCTTCTTCTTTCTTCCTCTGTTGATGCTAATACCAAAATAAAACGCACCTTTAAGTTATAAAGAGAAATGTCGCTTAAAAGAAATAGCCTTTTAGTCCTCAATATTATTAGTAATAGGTGCCATCACCCTTGCATCATGATGACGTAATTATTAGTATTATACTTCAGTGTGTGTGTCAGCAGACGATCGGGTTGTCGTTCGTCGACATTTGAATATTTTGCTAACTACCCTCGGAATAGTGAAATTAAAATAACAAACGCGCGAGATTAAACCGTAAAAGCAGCTATAATTGTTGAGACGATAGTTTCTTTTTGTTGTCGCAAATAGTCCCATTCGAGTAGTGACGAGAGTGAGAGAGTTTGTTTGTATCAAAGATTGTGCCGGATTTTTAGGGGGATTTTTAAAAGTGGCAACATTAATAATCAGCTGATGCTCTAGGTCAGGAATGGCGGATCTTCAAAGATAAACGTGTAATTTTTTTCGTCTAAAAAACAAACAAGGGAGAACTTATTGAGAAAGTTATGAAACTATAACTTGAATAAGACGACTTGCAGGTTGTCATGAAGTCATTGTGGCCCAAATTTGAAGGCGGGCTCGTGGTCATTCGCAAAATTATTAGCGTTGGGCCGGTAAGAGCAGTGCTATCTGATGCCAAATTTCGTAACTAATAGTACTATTAGAGACGTTCTGTAAAATTATAAACATGTCGTGTCGACTGTAACAGCGTACGGATCATCTGAAGCGGAAAAAGTGAATTACGATAATTGAAATCAGCCTTTAGTGTAGTAATAATTAAATTCAGTTTTACTTTGGATTTCGGCAAGAGTTTATTATTCATCCAGAGTCCCGGCGTATGACAATAATGAACTTGGCTACTTTGAATTAAATTTCAAATAGTTTCGATCGATTGCGTGTGATTGGTCCGCCATTTTTGCTCTAGATATTCCTAGTTTGCTTATGGAAGAACTCGAGCGCCCTCTACCGAAATTTCTCGTTGTCTCTGCCTTCATCAATGTGACAAGTCCTTTTGCGTAGAATGCTTCATTAGCGTAGAAATAGCGTAACATACCCTTTCTTCTCGTCCAATTAACTGTACAAAGTATATTTGAATTATGACGTAGTATACGGTAGTGTTGTAGCTTCAATGTAATTAAACAAAAAAAAAAAAAACTGCCCAAAAAAAAAAGAAAGAAAACATTAGAATTTAGATTTTAGATAATGTTTAATTTACGTTGCGATTTGCACTTCCATGATACTTCATATTTATGATATTCGTTATTTTTCCTATTCCTAATTTCTTAAATGTTTCGTGTGACGTATGACCTTTGTCTTTTGCGAGCTCTTTCGGTTGTTGTCGTAAATATGATTAGCGCGCTATCGACTTGGTATTGATCGGCTGGGGAGAGCCTTTTTACGACATTAATATGGTCAGCCTCATTGATCAGGTCATATTTACTGGTGGTAGGACCTCTTGTGAGTCCGCACGGGTAGGTACCACCGCCCCGCCTATTTCTGCCGTGAAGCAGTAATGCGTTTCGGTTTGAAAGGTGGGGCAGCCGTTGTAACTATACTTGAGACCTTAGAACTTATATCTCAAGGTGTGTGGCGCATTTACGTCGTAGATGTCTTTGGGTTCCAGTAACCACTTAACACCAGGTGGGCTGTGAGCTCGTCCACACAGCTAGGCAATAAATAAATAAAAAGTTTCTCGCCAGAAGCTCTCAGTGGGTCGCCATTCCGATCCGGTGGTAGATTCTGCGAAGCACTGCTCTTGTTAGGGCTAGTGTTGGCAAATTCTGGTACCTGGAATAGCCCCTTAGGCCACCAGTGAACAGCTAGGGGAAAAAGTGACCAAGAATGTTGGTTAGTACCAATATCTTTTGTCTCACAGCAATCGTCATGAAACGTGAAGGAAATGTCCTAGCTACGTCCATACTTAAATTAAATTGCTTAAGATCAATCGCACGGGACAAAAGTCATCACGTTACACTGAATTATTAAAGTAAATCAAATAATGGTAAAAGCATTTATATTATCGTACGGTATCTATAACGCTTCGTGATTGGCAGTTGAATGTTTCGAATATTGAGAATGATCTAGAATAATCTAGATTCTTGGCGATTAGGGTTCTTGCATCATAAAAGCCGTAGCGTGAGAGAAATGTAAGTTTATACATTCTGCTAACACATTTCCCTTAGATATGCGTGATAAAAACAATCACCTAAACCAGTATCTTGAAAAGTATTTATATTAATATCTACGGCTCGTTAATACGTTACAAAATCGTTTGACAGAAGCTAGTACTTGTTATAAATGCCGAACGATTTGCTTGTTGCTGCGTTTCAAGGATACAAAAACGACTTTAATCATATGCGTTTACGAGGTATAATCATATAAGCTCTCACACGAACATATTACATTATAGATGTTAAGAGTGAAATGATAGCGAAATTGTTGAAGTAACATTGTTTAGACTATCCGTGTATTTTATATAGAAATCCTCAAATTTTTATGTTGTTTCCAAAATAGTAACTTCTGCTAATATATCATCTTTCAGGCCCCTGAAACTAGTAAAAATAGGCTTCCCCCAAGCCTCGTCACAACTAAAATGGCTAATTAGTTACAATCGATTACAATTCATGCCTCATACATGCTACCTATGAAATTTGGGGACAAAAGAATAAAACCAAATAAAAATAGAAATGCATGAAAATTCTTATGATGGCAACACCGACATGGTATTACGTCATAAGTTGTGCATAAATGGCCGAAGTGAAGATAATCTATAATTGAAATCCCATTTTATTCTCATCTAATTTTGCAACTGCATCCTCTGCTGTATATTATTTATCGGGATTTTTTATCAATTAAATAAATAAAGAACTGGAAACATATCACGGATGGTCATTCGGCCCCAAATTAGTATTCCTTGTGCTATGGCTACCAGAGAAGTCGTCGTGGCCTAAAGCTTAAGACGTCCGATGCATTCCTATCTAGCGATGCAACGGTGTTCGAATCACGCAGGCGGGTACCAATTTTTCTGATGAAATACGTACTTAACGAATGTTCACGATTGACTTCCACGGTGAAGGAATGACATGGTGTAATAAAAATCAAAACCGCAAAATTATAATTTGCGTAATTACTGGTGGTAGGACATCTTTTGAGTCTGCACGGGTAGGTACCACCACCCCGCCTATTTTTGCCATGAAGCAGTAATGCGTTTCGGTTTGAAGAGTGGGGCAGCCGTTGTAACTATACTGAGACCTTAGAACTTATATCTCAAGGTGTGTGGCGCATTTACGTTGTAGATGTCTATGGGTTCCAGCAACCACTTAACCCCAGGTGGGCTGTGAGCTCGTCCACCCATCTAAGCAGCCAGATAAAGAGCAAACCTGTTTATCACACGAATATCGGTCAATTAAAATGTATATGTTTGTGTGAAAGCTTTCTGATTTCGTTCCGAGACTTCAATTATAAAAGGCACCTTGTTTTCGAGATGAGTATCGCTTGAAACGCTCCCCTATTTTTCGGTGTATTCAATAGTGAAATACGAATTGGGTTCCGTATAAACGTTAATTCTTTGAATGCAGTTCGGTTCCCGATCATAAAGGTTTCCACGGCCCGACTGTGGCCCACGACAGCCCGGTGCTTTTCGGGATATTGTCGCACACGGATAATGAGGTAAGTGAATGTGTCCTCTTCTTTTTCGTGCTTTTTATCCTACTATGTGAGGTAGGCGTAGCATGTTCCCTTTTTAACCGACTTCAAAAACGAGGAGGTTCTCAATTCGACTATGTTTTTTTTATGTTTGTTACCTCATAGCTTTTGACTGGGTGAATCGATTTTGATGATTCTTTTTTTTTCAAAAGCTGACGTTTCCCGTGTGGTCCCGTTTTAATTCTGATAGTCCAGTTCTGATAATGGTATCCATGAGAGAACCATATAAGTCTTAAATTTGCATTAAGTACGTGCGCGATAAATAGATGAATAACTCAACATCACAATATCACGCCAACCGATTTCGATGATTATTGTTTTTAGTGTATATTAATTTGTTTTTTGGAATATCTTTTTTTTTCTATTTGAAGTCGGTTTTTGTTAAAGCTTGTCTATTTACAATTATTCTATTCCGGCCTCCTTTTTATTTGTTTATTGCCCTTGTAGGCTGACGAGCATACGGCCCATCTGATGGTGAGTGGTTACCGTCACTCATGGACTTCGACAATGCCAGGGGCAGAGCCAAGCCGCTGCCTACCACGCCCTACCTGGCCTATCATTTCCAACCATAATATTTAAAAAAAAATTAGGTCAACATCTTTGGAACAGAAATATTTTTTTCTTATCTTCACAGTTACTTTCCTGTCCACCGGCGATGCGTTTCGTGATAACCTCATCAGGAGGACGCCAGCGCAGACTGCTCTTGAGGGGAGACTCGGCCGGAGTTGTCTCAATTTGGAATGTCGACGACGCCGCCACTCCGGACCTCAACAAAGTTAACAGTAAGCGGTCACAATACCTGAACATAGACGATTGTCTTTTTTACTTCTTTTTTTATTTGCATTTTTACTTAGTCTAAGGTAAAGATATACAACAGACAAGACCGTATGGGCTTAGATCCCCTTGCCTTTCCTAATAAGGAAAAATTGTACAAAAAAAAGTCTGGTAAAGATGTCGCCCCGAAATTCGACTTACAATATTTGGGTGTAAAAAAAAAAATATTAATTAAATTGCTTAGTTTAGGTCTTGTTTTAATTTTATTAATTCTTGCTTTGCATTATTGTTTGGTTTCTTAGTGATTTCACTTGTTTTTATTGGTGAGCACCTTTAATTGGCTTTCTGGTTTCTATTTGTTATACTATTACGTTAAGTTAAGCTGTAAATCCTCCTTGAAGTAAATAAAGAAGTAGAATCTTGTAAAAAAGCTAAAAGATATTACTCAATGTTATTCAAGTGTCTGGCGCCTCCTAAAAAGAATCGATGCCAGCGCCGTATCACAAATTCTCAAGTAGTAATCTGTGGCTATCGTTTTGACTTTTTGGCGGGAATGCGAGGAGTGAAGTTGTGGAATCCGTTTTATTTTGTCTATTTAGTGTTTCTTTGGGCTTAATGCGTAATAACGGTGGTTTATTAACTGCTTAGTATCTGTGAAAGTGCACAAATGTGCGAAAATAAAACAAAGCCCCTGGACGTAACTTCTCGGGATCCTCCAAAAAGTCCACTGAAAAAGTCTCAGTAAATGACCACAATTTTACTGAGGTTCATTCGTTTTTTATCTTTAATAATTAAGCCGGCGAATTATAAAAATCTTATTACTTAACACTGGCTAATTCACAAACCGTGCCGGAGCCAAGAAGTAACGAAGAGGGAGCTATCGTTTTACCGTCGCTCTAATAGCTCATTGATTGATCTTCGTAGCGTACGCCCCTCTGGTGCTGACAAGCATGGAAATAGCGTGGTCGGACATGAACCCGAGTCCTGTCGGAATCCTGGACCAACTCCACGTCCCTGACGAGTCTGGTAATGTGGCTTTGTTATTTTTACTAGCTGATATATGTTTATATATATTTTTATTGCTTGGATGGGTGGACGAGCTTACAGCCCACCTGGTATTAAGTGGTTACTGGAGCCCATAGACATCAACAACGTAAATGTGCCACCCACCTTGAGATTTAAGTTCTAAGGTCTCAAGTATAGTTACAACGGCTGCCCCGCCCTTCAAACCGAAACGCATTACTGCTTCACGGCAGAAATAGGCAGGGCGGTGGTACCTACCCGTGCGGACTCACAAGAGGCCCTACCGCCAGTAATATAGACATGTATAATCTTAACATACAGGGTGCAGACGCGAAATAACTACGAAAAATAGCAAAATTTGCTCGTTAAAAATTGTAGGACACAGACTGCGGACAGAAACGACAAGAAACGGCAGTTCTGCGGTAAAGGAAGGATGCACAGTACCTTATGTAGTCCTTACTGCAGGCTCGTACCGCTACGCGATGAGAAACCCCAACAATTTCACTTATCTTCTAAACTAAAACTAAACTACGTTCTTTTGACAGTATTTATGAGAAAAATACTGGTGACACCAAATGATTCCGCATATTAACTCGAATTTCGAATATTTTTGGAAATTGTACACTTTTAATGCGAAAAGACATGTCGTGCTGAAGTCTCGTACATTAACTTGGCCGGTGGTGGTTGTTCCCAGAAATTAAACTGACCGCTTCGATATATCTGATGGCGCTGAACCGCCTCGTGGTCGGCAGGGAGGACGGCTCCATCGTGATCGTGAACGCGACCCACACCGTCCAGCTTCAGCTGTTGCACGGCAGACACCAGCAGCTAGATGGTGAGTCGGAGGACCTGGTCTATGAAACTATACTTGAGACCTTAGAACTTGTATCTCAAGGTGGGTGGCGCATTTACGTTGTGGATGTCTATGGGCTCCAGTAACCACTTAACATCAGGTGGGCTGTGAGCTCATCCACCCATCTAAGCAATAAAAAAAAAAAAAAAAAGTCGTCGCGGCCTAAAGGATAAGACGTCCGGTGCATTCGTATTGTTACGCGCTGGGGTTCGGGATAAATAAAATTTTCACCAAAGTACAACTAAAAAATGAATTCAGCACTTAAAATACTTAAACACCTTAAAACTCTCAATTCGCTCGTTCCGCTTCGCTTCAGGTGATCCGTTCGCTGTTTCGCTTCGAGTAGTACCGATTACTGACTGACTGCGCGCCATCTCTGCAACGCTTTTATAGCCGATACCTCATCCCTAGAACCATCGAGAATATTCCACACGTCTCTAGTCGTAGTTCCCGCTATCTGACAATAGATGGCGTTGTAATTCTCGAGCGTTCTGGATCCCTCGATATTCGTTCGACTATTCGGCGATAGATGGCGTTACACTTACCGGCGTAACAGTATGTAGCGATGCACCGATGTTCGAATCCCGCAGGCGGGTACCAGTTTTTTTCTAATGAAATACGTACTCAACAATTGTTCACGATTGACTTCCACGGTGAAGGAATAACATCGTGTAATAAAAATCATACCCGCAAAATTATAATTTGCGTAATTACTGGTGGTAGGAACTTTCGTGAGTCTGCGCGGGTAGGTACCACTACCCTGCCTATTTCTGTCGTGAAACAGTAATGCGTTTCGGTTTGAAGGGCGGGGCAGCCGTTGTACTAAATGAGACCTTATAATTCATATCTCAAGGTACGCTATTTATCTGCATAATCTAAAAGCTTCAGTTTTTCACCTTAATACGCACTAAATCTTTCACTATAAATTGTTACTGTTTATCACCCCTATAATCACCTCTAACACCACGTCGTCAGCAATCACGGCGTCAGCAATCACGTCGTCAGCAACTATGTCGTCAGCAATTATGTCGTCAGCAATCACGTAGGGGTCACCACTGTTGAGTCTGTGCTTATATAGAGCGTATATTCTATTATGTAGGGTGATAATTATTAACAAGACACGATAGCTTGCAACCTGTTTATTTTGCGGTGACTCGACACAGACTGTCTAAGCTAAGCCCGCTACACTTAATTGCTTTTGCTAGGGCTAGTGTTAGCAACTTCATATTATAGCCCTATCCTCCAACCAGGTGGACTGACGACTTAGTGTTGTCACAAGACAAGTTGTGACAAGTCGTTGGATGCGGAAGGCGGAGGACCGCATTATGTGGAAGGCATTGGGTAAGGCCTATGTCCAGCAGTGGGCAGATAAAGGCTGATGATGATGATGACGATGATGAAGCTCATTTACTCGCTCGATGAGTCTAGAATAACCCCTCGAGGTTACTAGAATAGGTAGCCAAAATAACAGCAATCTTTGCAAGATCACCGTCGTTTTTCTTCTTGTTTGTTTCAGATTGGCCACCGCATCAGCTTCTGTTGGGTCACAACGGAAGGGTTAATTGCTTGTTGTATCCACACCACGTACACCAGAGGTGAGAATTTGTAGGCAGCGGCTTGGTCTGCCCCTGGCATTGCTGAAGTCCACGGGCGACGGTAACCACTCACCATCAGGTTTTAACATCCCACGTAACTCGATTTGTCTGTGCACACAATAGAAATTGGCGACATGAATTAATTCGCTTATATTGTCCTATACAAATATTCATAAATTTGTCTGATCACTTATATTCTTGATGTGCCGCTTAGTGCAGTATTTAGTATACCACAAACGTACAACAGGTGGCGCTGGTTGTTCCAAGTGCATGTGCATTTTGCGTAATTACTCACAACATCCATAAGGAAAAGCAGGGTAGGCAGCGGGAAAGAAAAGCAGGGTAGGCAGTGAGAAAGAAAAGTGGGGTAGGCAGTGAGAAAGAAAAGCGGGGTAGGCAGTGAGAAAGAAAAGCATGGTAGACAGTGACAAAAAAAAGCAGGGTAGGCAGTGAGGGGACCGCTTGTGCCACAGGTACGACAGAGCGCATCTGGTGTCGGGCGGGATCGACTTCGCGGTCTGCCTGTGGGACCTCTTCAGCGGAAGCCTGCTGCACCGCTTCTGCGTGCACGCCGGAGAAATAGCTCAGCTGATCGTACCCCCCCACAATTGCAGTGTAAGTATTTCGTGGGACACCACTCCACGCTGTCTGCATCGGTCGCGAAAATTTGGAGGTTTTCAGGATGGGGAGGCCGCTATACAACAAGATGGCGGCATTCACGTCGTGATGTCTATGGTCACCACTGAACACCAGTTTATGCAATCAGTCTTTTTGCAATACGATTTTTTGTATTCGAATAAACAATTAGTAAAGCTATTAATTAATATTATTATGTAACATAAGTTGTAAATACTATCTATCTATACAAAAGTTTTGGGGAAAATGTTTCTTCGCATTTTTAAGAACAAAAAAAAAAAAAAAAAAAATATATTTTTTCACCCTACTCACCCGGTGGTGAGTGGTTACTGTCGTTTACAAACGCCAACAATGAAACCTCAAGGTGGGTGTCGGCATTTACGTTGTAGATGTCTATGGGCTCCAGTAACCATTTCACTCCAGACGGTCCGTGAGTTCGTCCACAGATCTAAGCAATAAAAAAAAAGAAATGAGTGATATTCGCTTACCATTCGTTTTGTTTATGTATTCCAGCCTCGGATCCAGAAATGCATTTGCTCAGTGGCGTCCGACCACAGCGTGACTCTGCTGAGTGAGTTTACTTAAATTTATAAAAAAAAAAATTACATGTGTGCAATTCACACGTGGTAGAAGTGAAACCTTCCAAAATTAAAATACAACTATCCTAAACGTCTTAAGTATATGTAAAATTTTGTCATTAGTAAATAATTGTAAGGTAGCGCCCTCTGTGAATTGATATTTTAATTTCACGTATAATCCTAAATTAAAATTCACTACAAGAGCTTTCATACACACGTTAGTATTAAAAAATCTCACAGATGGCGCTGTATTAAATAGTATGTATATTTCTGTCTCATTCTTTGCTGGCTTCATCCTACACATTTTTGTATTTGTGTCTCTTACCTGTCGTTTTTTTCGTTGCATCCGGTTTGAAATCACAACGATTCTAAAGAAGTTTTCACTTCAAAAAAGAATTTAACATGTATTGACTGAATTGCTAAAGAGCATATTATTATTAGAAACAAAACTTTAATGTAGTTGTTATGTCATTATGTCATGTTATCCAATTCAACGTCTAATTTTACTAGCGCGTCCATGTTCTCATTCCGCAGGTATATATTCTAAGGACATAAATTTAGGCATAAGTAGGGCCCTATGTGAGCCCGGTCTAGTACGTGCCACCACCCTGCATATTTCTGCCGTGAAGCAACAATGCTATATATACTATACAATTGCAACTACGACCACATTCCTCAAGCAGTATTCACGCTGAAATGTTTACCTTCGGGAACCACTTATTCGACATTTTGGTTCTTCGAGCCGAACATGAACCAGCGACCAATGGATCTGTAATTCACACCGAACAATAAGCGCGTTTGCTCGTGCAATAAATAAACCAAACTATGTAAGCACATAAAATGTAGTCATAGACTGACCATATTTCACTAGCCCGCAATAAAATGCAAAGGGTTACCGTTTTCTGCGTACTTTTGGGGCTAATGACCTTGTACGTCCATTGTGTTACATTACGTCCAATGTAAAGAAGGTTAGAAAAGTAGATTTTAGCACTATCATATTGGCAACTCTCAAATAACCATCCTATATAATTAAGTTCTCGTCGTCAAATGTCGTATTTACGGTAGCTTCTTATTGACGCATTGACACAATCGTTCTGGAATCAAACAGGTCTAGCCGAGAGGAAGTGCGTGACCCTGGCCTCTCGGCACCTGTTCCCGGTCGTGACGATAAAGTGGCGACCGGCCGACGACTTCATGGTGGTCGGCTGCAGCGATGGAACCGTCTACGTCTGGCAGATGGAGACGGGACACCTGGACAGAGTGCTGCATGGTAAAGTTTTTTTGTTTTTTTATTATAGGAATTCGCTTTGAGAACAATGAGCTTATTTTTTTTTCTAACTATGCTGATAGCCTTGAGAGGCTATTTCAGCTTCTCCTTAACGTGTAGGTGTGCTCACGGGGCTCAAACCGGGAGTGTTGCTAACACTGGCCCTAGCAAGAGCAGCGCTTCGCAGAATCTACCACCGGATCGGAAAAGCGACCCACTGAGAAGATCCGGCGAGAAACTCAGTGGGCTGTGTCTAAGGGTTAATTCACTCGTCGAGCCCTTCGTCGCAAGCGAGGGGTCCGACGAGGACGGTGACCGGTGTTTCTTTTTTTTTTTTATTGCTTAGATGAGTGGACGAGCTCACAGCCCACCTGGCGTTAAGTGGTTACTGGAGCCCATAGACATCTACAACGTAAATGCGCCACCCACCTTGAGATATAAGTTCTAAGATCTCAATATAGTTACAACGGCTGCCCCACCCTTCAAACCGAAACGCATTACTGCTTCACGGCAGAAATAGGCAGGGCGGTGGTACCTACCCGCGCGGACTCACAAGAGGTCCTACCACCTTCACAATAGAAATAGGCAGGCGTGGTACGTTCCCATGTGGACTCACAAGAAGTCCTACCACCGCTTACTAAGCGACCCATAGCGCGGTCACGAGATCAATAAAGAACACCATCTTACAATTAAAAGTACTTGACGGCTTAATCTCGCGTCTTTTATTGTCATTTTATTATTGAGAAAACTTTCTAATACGGAGATATGGTCAATGTCAATGTCAATAAACACGCTAGCTTAAACCGTACCAGCAGTTTTAATTACGTCCACGACCCGCTGAAACAGGTATGATAGCCGAAGAGGTATTGGCCGCTTGCGACGAGACCCTGTCTGATGACCTCGGGGGCTCGATGTCCAGCGGCTCCGGGGACCTGCAGGGCCTGGCCAATCCCGCCGTGCATTTCTTCAGGTACGCATTTCTAGTTTCTTTCAGGTTTGATCGGTGAACTTACTTTTTTTTTCCTACCTAATCTGGTGGTCTTGAGAGACCATTTCAGCATAGCCTTAACTAGTAGGTGACGGGTCACGGGGCTCAAACCTGAGAACACTCACCCTAGCAAGAGCAGTGCTTCGCATGATCTACCACCGGATCGGAAACTTCTTCCGCTTCGCTTCAGGTGTTCCGTTCGTTGTTTCGCTTCGACTAGTTCCGATTACTGACTGACTGCGTTCCATCTCTGCAACGCTTTTATAGTAGATACGACATCCCTAGAATTATCGAGAACATTCCTCACAAGTCGAGTGTGACACCTTCGATGTGTGTTTCCGTTATCTGACAATAGATGGCGTTACTCTTACGGGCGTAACGGTACTGTCTCGAAACGTTTCGAAGGATGCCGGTCATTGCAGCGGCGATTTTGTTCGAACAGGGGCCTCCGTCACCGGAACCTGACGGCCATGCGCGCGGCCACGCAGCGCGGGCTGGCGGCGCTGCAGCACGCGGGGCCGGCCGCCGCGGGCCCGCTCGCCGCCCCCGCGCGCCCGCGCCCCGCGCCCCTCACCGTGCAGCCCTTCCGCTCCAACCCGAAAGGTGACGACAGTAGGGATGATCGATATTATTTAAAAGTATCGATGTACGATAGACATCGATAGCAAAACATCGATGTTTTTGATAAGAAATAAAACTGTTTATTTTATGTATTACTAGCGAGCCGCCCTCGCTTCGCTTCGGAAACTGTAATTTATTATTGATTTCTCCACTATTTAATGGATGTTATTATGCATATAAACCTTCCTCTTCAATCACTCTATCTATTAAAAAAAACCGCATAAAAATCCGTTGTGTAGTTTTAAAGGTTTTTTTAGCATACATAGGAATGTAGGGACCGAGAAAGCGACTTTGTTTTATACTATGTAGCGATACGTGTAATTAAATCTACGTTTTACGGATTACAAGCGGGCGTTTAATTATCGGACTTAACATTAGTATAACACTTCACGATTTACATTTTCTTAACTTCACACATACTTTGATTACGTTAATCAGTGTCATTTAATTTAAAATAGTTTTACTAAATAGAGAGAGTATTCTTTATTGTACACCAAAAAACATATAAACAGTGCGATACATTAAAAACAAAAAAGTACAATTGGCGGTCTTATCGCTAAGAGCGATCTCTTCCAGACAACCATCAGGTGGACAAGAATCATTTGGAAACGAACTACGCGCGGTGTACCATTCCAGTGAAATACATGTGCATATATGTACACATCCATCTACACATACATATCTCCGTAAATATACATACAATTAATACAAAGTATTATAATATAATAATAATAATTAAAAAAAAAAAAAATTTAAATTTTGCTTCTTTACACATAAATAAAGAATAAGCAATTTACATATAAAAGATACTTAAAATACCTTTGAAACATTTACAATTTAAGTAGATACCAACATATACGTAGATACATAAGGACCCACTAGCTGGAAAATACGTCCAGCATTAGATGACCCTCCCTAATATATATTAATTTTTTTATTTTTGTTGTTAATGCACTGTCGATTGCACCTGTAATAGAGGTGACATCTGCCATGAACTTTTGTCAATTGTTCAATGTTTTGTATCGATGATCACTTTGTTGGTGCAACTTACTAAATAAATAAAAAATAAAATAAATAAA